TCAGGTAAGCCCCTCTGGAATTAGATGGCACCTGTCAGAGAAGAATCTGAACCACGGCACTGAGGTTTCAGCCTCGACCTCCACTCCCCGTCTCTCCTCCAGCCATGTGGGTCCTCCCCGTTTCTCCTCCAGCCATGTGGGTCCTTCCCGTCTCTCCTCCAGCCATGTGGGTCCTCCCCGTCTCTCCTCCAGCCATGTGGGTCCTCCCCGTCTCTCCTCCAGCCATGTGGGTCCTCCCCGTCTCTCCTCCAGCCATGTGGGTCCTCCCCGTTTCTCCCAAGAGAAGCCGGGCTTGCTCCCAAGTCCTTTGCACTTTTGCCTCTTGCCCAGCTTTGTCCTGGGGCTTTCTGAGCTCGCACTCTTATGTTGCACATGTCTGTGTAAGAGCCACCTGTGTGGAATGGAACTCCTTCATCGGCACCCACCCCCGTCTCGCCTTTTAAAAACGATTCCTTCTGTGATTTCGTACAGGCACATAACGTGTCTTGGTTGTTTTTTACCTCCACACCTCACTCTGCCATTCTCCTCCCACTCCCGCTGAGCCCCCCTCCTCTTCCCATCAAGTCCCCCTCCTGCCCCTCCTGTTTTCATGTCCTTGTCTTGTGGCCCCCACTTTAATAGGAATGACTACACTGGAGGGGGATGAGTCTCTGTTCGAGCAACAGTTAATGCCAATAACTCCATGGAGAGGAGTGGGGCTTTGTGAACCCCTCCCCATCCACGCTGGGATTTTGCCCAGATCTTGTGCTGGGTACCACAGCTGCTGTGAGTTCACCAGTATGACGGCCATGTCATGACCAGAAGACTGCTCTTCACTCATCCCCACCCACGATCTTCTCATTGTCTTTCTGCCCTCTCTTCTGCAATATCCCCTGAGCCTCGGGGGAAGTGATAGAGATGTCCCATGTAGGGCTCACCACTCACCCATCATGTATTCTCAGCACTCTGACCAGTTATGAGTCTCTGCATTAACTACTGCCCACTGCAAACAGAAATGTCTCTGACCAAGGACGATAGCCACACTAACGTACGGAGGCAGTTTGACATGTCCCTTTACAAAACAATAGTAGTAGGTTCCCTGGTTCCCTGTCTGGGTCTATGACCTCCCCAGCCAAGGGCTTTTGACCAGGTTTACAGACCAGGCCCCTTGCTTGGTTTTCTTCCGAATAGTCATCAGTGTTCAGACCAGCCCATCATACGATCATCTGTCGGCCCCTCCTTTGTAGCACGAATCTTAGAAGGTCTTATTAATAAAAACAAACCTGGAGCCAGGTATTGGGGTGAATGCTGGAAGATCAGAGAAGCAGAACAAGCCACAGGTTCCTCACCTCGCAATTCCTCAGCTGATCCTGTTTCCTCAGACTGGAAGCTTCTATGTCCTCATCCAAATGGATCTCAGCTGAACTGCTTCTCAAAAGCCTAAAAGCTTAACCAGCTCTAGTTCCTCGTCCTCACGCCTTAAATACCTTTCTGCTTTCTGCCATCACTTCCTGTGAGTTGCCATGCCTGGCTGTTTCCAGTGTGGCTTTAAATTCACAGAGATCCAGATGGATCTTTGCCTCCCAAGAGATAGGATTAAAGGCATGTGTGCCACCATTTTCTGGCCTCTATGTCTATCTAGTGGCTGTTCTGTTCTCTGACCCCAGATAAGTTTATTAGGGTGCACAATATATTGGGGGACACAATATCACCACACTTTGTCTCCTCTAATTATAAGTTAAAGTCCAGAGTGGCAGAGATTTTATCTAATATGTCTATGGTTTAATTCTTGTTCCCTCCCCAGCCAAACTTCTTGGGACATAGAAATTCTAGAGAAACATCTGTTGAATTAAGCTCTGCTACCTGTATAAATAGAAACTCATCAGATATTGTTTTATGTATGAAGTAAGGAAAACTATATTTATCAGAATGTGTACTTGGCTCATCTATGCTTGGAGTCAAGATAGATTTGTTTTGAATTGTTTAGGTTTCTGCAATGTTGGACCTTGCTCATGTTAGTCAGGAATTCTACCACTGTGCTACATCTCACCCCTCTTTTTTACCCTTTATTTTGAGACAGAGTCTCACTAAGCCATCCAGGCTGGCCTTGAACTCATGCTATAGCGGAGGAACAGTTTGGACTTCGTTGCTGCAGATTCCCCAGTAAGTGAGATGGAACGTCTACACTGTCAAGCCCAACCGAGATATGTTAATTTTTCAGCTCTGCTATCTGTAAGCACCTACAATTTACCTTATGTGTTTCCAGGTCCCCATAGCACAGCCACATATTCCAAAGATGGGGGAGTTGGGGGCCTTGGTGCTCTGTGCTGCTCATCCTGACAGACCAAGCCGGACATTAATGACTCTGAGATGTACAGGCTGAGCCCGGGCACCCAGAAACACTTCACAGAGCAGCTCCAGCTTTGGGGGATAATTGGAAGAAACTGTTTGCAGGGTAAGCAATCACTGTCCTCAGCCCTGACCTGATTTTTATTTCTCATGAGCACTTGTCTAAACAGAGAAGGGTGATCCTAGCCTTGTGGGATAGGTTTAAGTACCACTAGGGTACGAAGGGGAGCATCCACAGAGAGCAGGGATGCCGAAGTCATCAAGAAGAAGAGCTGGTCCTGAGAACTTGCTGCCCACTGGGAAACTAGATGTCTCTGGCTTATGGTCACACACTCATGGGGATTGGGTAAGTGACTTAACAGCTAGACAGGGTCAGGCAGACACTTTGTCTATATCCCTCTTTAAAGAGGTAGCTTTGACCAAACCTTGCCAAACAGGGATACAGGCTCAGTATGGCCAGGTTTTCTGATTTCTCACTGAAAACCAGAAATCCAAATGCGTCTATGAAGTCTCCCAACTTGAAACGTTGCCAACAGAATGAAAAATTTTAGAAGCACTGTTTTCTAGCTAACATTCCCATGTAACAAACCACCCTGGATTTAGTGACGTGAAACAACTGTTCTGTTATGCCCACAAACTCTCTGTGACAGAAGTTTGGACAGGATGAGTGGAGATGGTTTGACTCAGCTCCATGGCGTCTGGGGCTTCAGCTGGGAAGACTCAGGCACTGGAGCTAGAACCATCTGGAGGCTTCACTACTCACATAGCTGGTGCTTGGGCTGGAATGACTCAGGCCGTGACTCGGCTGGGACAGTCCAGTAAAGCCCCTACACATGGCTTTCCATGTGGCCTGAGCCTGTCATGCATGGCTCTGGGTTCTGAGACTGCGTGTCCCGGGAGTGGTCTCTGCAGGAGAACCAAGCGGAAGCTCCCTGGCCTTTTACCATCTGGCCTCCAGTCTCACAAGATCACTTCCACTGTGTTCCACTAGCCAAGGCAGCCACCCCTCCCCCCGAACTCAAGAGAAGAAGGGCCCAGCTGCCATCTCTTCACGGAAGGGCATCAACAATTTTGCAAGCTCCACATGCTGGGTGGGCCAGGCCTGAAGGGTGTGCAGGCCAGACTGGCAAGAACATTGCCAACAGTATGCCTGCAAGGCATAAAGGGATAGCGCTCCGTCCCAACCACTGGAGATCTGCTGCAACAGTCCCAGAGCACAGACCCGGAAGTGGGGCCACAAGCAGAGGAGCCTTCCTAGTTGGGCTTCCTTGGACCTGTGGTCCAGATCCCATGCCAGACCCAAATGCTACCTGCACACAGCCAGGCACTGGGGCCACACACTCAGGCCACTCCCCAGCCTCAGCACAACCTCAGAACACACCCTCGGGTCTTACGGTTTGGATCTGAAATATCCCCCAAAGGTCATGTGGCTAAAAATCCTTTGTTACCAACCTGTGTTGTTTGGGGAACTGGTATGGTTTGTAGAAGATGTGTGTGGTGGTGGGGGGTCTAGTTGGAGAAAGTGCATCACTGGGGATCTGTCCTTGAGGGGTGGACACATTCCCAGATCGTTCTTCAGCATCCCTCGCCTTCCCTGCTCTCCCCTGCTTCCTGGCTGCCATGGGGGAGCAGCTTTGCTCATGCTTGCCGCCACGGTGCCTCACCCCACGGCCCCAGAAACAATGCAGCCAGATGTCTAGGGTCTGAAACTCTGGGACAGAACAACCCTTCCCTGCTCTAAGCTGACTTCCCCATGTATTTTGTCATGGTGACAGAAGATGATTAGCACATCAACTCCCACCAAGGCATCCTCTTTTGCAAAGACCCAGAACCCCAGCCATGTCCCTTCATCTTCCTCTCTAGGGAGATTTTTTTTTTCAGTCCCTAGACCAAAAGGGCCAGGTCCATACTTAGTCCAGATGCCATGGACTGAGCGAGGCCCCTGCAAATCTGTGTGTTGAAATCTAACCCTCAATGCAGTGGTCTTCCGTGGTTTGGAAAGGGCATTAGTGCCTTTACAAAATGGGCTCCATGGCTTGCCTTGCCCTTTGCACCATGTGGGGACATACTAGAAAACATTTTGACTTGGAAGAGGGTCCTCACCAGGGCCAGCATGGGAAACTGCAATGTGCAGTCCGGGCCCCAGAGCCACCTGCACAGAGCCTATCTCCCCTCTAACCACAAACCTGGCCTCATGCCCACCTCCGGGACACATCCTGACATGTTAGGTTCGGATCTGAAGTGTTCCTCATATGCCACATGTCTAAGGGACCTTTTTTAAAACAGCACCTTGCTCTCAGGCTCCCAGCCTCCAGAATGGTAAGAATTCTTTATTTATAAGCCACCTAGTCTGTGGCTGTGTTCAAACAGACCAAGCCACTGGACTGTCTGAAAGAAGTACTTCTGGAGAGCCTAGCTGTTCTCTAGAGGCAAACACCTTCCTCATCGATCTCTGAAGAGTTGTGAAAGAAAAGGCACACGGGAAACAGCCATGGCCTTGGGCAGAGGGTGGATGCTGGGCCAGGCCACGTGCTGGCTTGCTTATATTCTTTTGTGGACTATAGTGACCCTGTGGAGCAATTCTTTTTTCCATTTAAAAGATGAGCAAACCAAGTTTCATGGTAAGTACAGCAAGTGTGTGGGCTTCCTGCTCGGTGAACTCATGAACTTACCTAAGGAGCAAAGCGTGAGAGAGACCTGAAGTCGACAGGTGGGGCCCCATTGTGAGGAGCCTTGCAAGCTCCGCAGTCATGAACTTGATGAGTCAGGTTGTAGGGAGCCATCCAAGGTTCTGCAGCTGAGGGTGACTCTGCTAATTAAAGCCAGTGGAGATAAAGTGATTCCTTCCAGCGTTTTGTTTTCCACACCCTCCTTTCTGTGGGCTTCTCATTTACAGTTGCCATGTGAGCAAAGTAGGAGTCACGGAGTCCAGAGTACCAGTGGCAAAACCAAGACAGAAGGTGAACCTCCTGAGTCCACATCCTGGTCGGTGAGGGTCACTTGGACCCCCGTAACATAGTGTACATCTTCTCCTCATTGGAGCCATCTAATATCACTGTCACCCCATCTTTCTTTCATCTCTTAGCAATTCTAGTGGAGCTGTTCATCATTGGTCCTGTGTGAGCCACATGAGGTCCAGCTGGCCAATCTGAATGATTGTCCGGGACTACAGGGATGCTGGAGGAGAGCCAGCCTTAGGCTTTCTTGGGGTTCTTAGTGATCCTCATGCCCTGGCCACCACATCTACTGCCATGTGGAGAATCTCTTCCTGAGGTGAGTCCCAGCGATAATACTTCAGGGTTCTCCAGAAGGAAACCAAGTCCCAGATTCATTGTTGCCTGGACTGCATTTGTGGGCCACTCTTATTGTTGACGCTTGCTCCAGAAGCAGCCCTGGAATCGATGCCTTGGTTAGCCATGGCACAGGTGGGTTTCCTCCAAGCCCCAACGTCTTCATTTGTGTACGGACAATGGTCGAAATAGCAAACTTAGGGAGTTTGTAGAGTATTTAACGCATGTCAGGATGGCAAGGCAGCAAGACAAGAAAAGGAAAGAAAAACACAAGTGAAAGGTATCACGGGAAGGAAAACAAATAGAATGCAATTATATACAAGTGTATATGGTGTATGTTTATGTTTGTATTTATAATTGTATGCACATGACACGATCATTTTCATAGAAATTTCAGGTTAGGAACTTTGCTTCCTAGTGCTGTGATAAACAGCATGACCAAAAGCAGCTTGAGGAAGAAAGGATTTATTTCCTCTTACAGCTGATAGTCCACCATGAAGTGAAGTCAGGGCAGGAACCTCGGGGCAGGAACTGAAGTATCACGGAGGCGTGCTCCTTACTGGCTTGCTCTCCTTGGCTTCCTCAGCCTGCTTTTTCATAGAACCCAAGACCACTTGCCTAGGGATGGCACCACCTGCAGTGGGCTGGGCCCTCCCACATCAGTCACTAGTTTGTTTGTTTTTTTAATGCCTCATAGACTTGCCTGTAGGCCAGTCTAATGGAGGTAATTCCTCTACTGCTATCTCCTCTTCCCAGACTCTAGCTTATGTTAGTAAAGCTGATAAAAAAAAAAAAACCTAACCAACCCATAGACGCACTATTAGAGCTCTTAAGAGTTCAGCAATTACTGGATAGATAACCAATAATCAAAAATCAATAATGTTTCTATATATCAGCAATGACAAATCAGAAAAAAAGAACTCTTTGAAAAAGAAACCTCACTGGGCAGTGGTGGCACACACCTTTAATCTCAGCACTCAGGAGGCAGAGACAGGTGGATCTCTGTAAGTTCAAGGCCAGCCTGGTCTACAGAGCAAGTTCCAGGACAGTCAGGGCTACACAGAGAAACCTTGTCTTGAAACTGACCCCTCTGCCTAAAAAAAAGAAAGAAGGAGAAACCTCCTCACTCTAAACACAAAATCTAAGCGTTCTAGAAACAACCTGTGTGATATATGTGTGTATATGTATGTTTGCATATACAAAATGTATGTGTGTGTGTAATACATGTGTGTACACATATGTGTGGATATACGAGATGTGTGTGATATATGTATGTACATGTATTGTGCATATCTTAGATGTATGTGTGTATGTGACACATGTGTGTACATGTATGTGTGCATACACACAAGATGTGTATGTAGGAAGAAGACAATTCACAGGAGTCTGTTCTACCCTTCACCATGGGTCCTGGGGATCAAAGTCACTCACAGGGTGTGCACAGCAAGATCTTTTACCTGCTGAACCTTTTGTTAGAGTTCAAGCCTGGGACAAATGACCGAGGTGCCAATTTAACATATCAAAGTGGACCTGGCCTCCAGGTTCTCCCAGCATCCCTCAGTCCCTACCTGTTACAGGGTCCTCCTGGCTGGCATACCCCATCCCCTACCCTAAAATTCTCCAGCCCAGGAACTGGGCGGGGCTGCCCTTCCCCCAGTGGCTCTTTCCTGTATAACCCAGCCATTTTGGCTACACTGGCCCTTTTTACCCCTTTTGGCCTCTTGCCCTCTTGGCCACTGCTCTTGGTTCCCCTCCCTCCTGTCCTCACTTGCCCAGCTCAATCAGCCAAACTCTCCCGGATGTCTCTACCTCTGCCTCTGCCTGTATTCTCCCTTATATCTATAATACAAACCCAAACCTCAACCCCTTGAGAGCAGTTATGCCCCCCTTTCTTTCTTTTTTCCTTCCTTCCTTCCTTCCTTCCTTCCTTCCTTCCTTCCTTCCTTCCTTTCTTTTTTCCTTTCTTTTTTCCTCTCTTCCTTTTTTTCTCATTCACCATCTTGACTGCCTCCAGAGTTTTTATTTTATTATTTTTATTTTTTGGCGGTTTTGAGATAGGGCCTCTCTATGTGGCCCTGGCTGTCCTGGAACTCAATATGTAGACCAAACTGGCCTTGAACACACAGAGATCTGCCTGCCTCTGCCTTCCAAGTACTGGGATTACAGGCATGCACCACTACTTCCAGCCAAGGTTCTTATTTTAATAAGATGATAGAAGGTAATTTATTGTGTATTTTTCAAATATTTTTGTCATATTTAAGTATGCATCTGTATGTGTGTCTGTGTATGGGTATTTGCACATGAGTGCAGGTGCTTGGAAGGCCAGAGGCATTGGATCCCCTTGAGCTGCAGTTACAGGCAGTTCTCAGTGGGGCCAGTGTAGGCGCTGGGAACTGCTGAGGCATCACTGCAACCTGAAGGTAGTGTTTCCAAGTCCTCTCTCCTTGGGAGAGGACTGTACTTCCTGAGCCATGGACATCAAACCTGGTCAGATGACTGACTTTGACCAATGATCACATGGACATGAGTGATACAATGGTGCTCGGAGCAGAGCCTTCGGCTGCTCCATGTTCCCACCTTCTCCCGACCTCCATCAGAGTATCACATTCCATACCCTGTCACCCCTCACCTGTGCCAGAAGGAAGAAGGTTAGGCCAGAGCCCAGGCCAATTGGGAGTGTAGAATGAGCAGGAAGTCTGCCATGTTGGCGTAGCTCAGGGAATCTGACTAATAGAAATTACCTACTGAATTGATAAAATGCTGCCATTTTGATTCATTTAGGCAAACAATGGCATTTTATAATAGTTCATTGATGTCTCCAACTGATTCCCCACTGTTGAGCTAATCATGAGCACCCCCCAAAATATTTACAATGATTTTTGTTTGTTTGTTGTGATTGCGTCTCACTCTGTAGCCCATTCTGTGCTTGAACTCACAGCAATCCTCCTTCCAGTCTCCAGAGCGTTGGGATTACAGGCATGCACCAGTACCACAAGACTTTTATTTACGAGAAGTCTTATGAGAAATGAGTTTGGGGGAATGCAGGCCTTTTGCAGGCGATCCACCCTCCACATCAGTGTTGTGAAGAGTGCCAAGTCTTGCAATGAAGAGACTGTTATTAGATCAGGATTTCCTGACACCACTTGAGGACAGGCCCCATAGCCTGCTTAAGAATGTCTAATGAAAATTTGCTTCACAGGTTTTTCTCAAACGATTTTTTTTCTCTTGAGATGACAGACCATGGAGAATTAGTGGGCTGGTTTCAAAAGCCAAACTGAATTCTCTTGTTAGCACATCAGTCATTTCCGCATCCACGAGCACAGTCCTCAGGTCCTCAGTCTGAAAGAAGAGCCTTGGAGAACAAGATGTTCCCCAAGTCCCTTATCGGAAGATTAAGAGCAGTTTGGATAGGGGAGGTCAGCGCCTGACCCCCGACTCCGGGATGGAGGTGGTCGGCTCTCCTGGCTACCCTCCACGCTTCCTGACATTTGTGCTTTAATCAAGTCCCACTCACCCCTCCCAGTTTCAAAGCCCAGTGAGGAACCACAAACTCCCACAGCCTCTGGCGGGAAAGCCAAGGGGAACTCTTTGAAAGGTAATTAGCGTCCTTTGAATCCTAGACCCTTTGATTTTGCTTCCTGGCCTTAAACAGTCACAGGAGATTTTGCAAAAATGGGAGAAAAACAAGGCACCGAGCAGAGCCCCTTCCACTGATGCTTCTCAAGAGAGAGGGGACACTTGTCACTGGGGTGGGGGAGCAGAGGTTGTAGTGATGTCCCCCCAGACCATTCATTCATTCATTCAGTTAGTCAGTCAATGTGCCAGGCATAATGCCAAGTATAGAGCACACAGTTTTAGCTACCATTCATTCATTCATTCATTCATTCATTCAGCCTGACATCTCTCTGCAGACACAGAGCTGGACTCCAGGGCTGTATACTTAGTAGGATAGGCAGACGGTAAACAAGTGACTAAATAAAAATTGTAACTGTTGACAATGGCTCAGTCAGTACAGTGCCTGTCACCGAAGCCCGAGGAACTGAGCTCAGATCCCCCAGGCATGCAAATGACCTAGAGGTGGCTCTCAGATCTGTAACCATAGTACTGGGAGGGGCACTCACAGACTGCCGGATCCCTGGAGCTCCTGGCCAGCCAATCTGACCAATCTATTAGCTCTAGGTTCAGTGAGGGACCCTGCATCAAAGGATGAGGTGAAGCATGGCATGGTGTCACATGTTTCCAGCACTCAGGAGGGAGAGGCAGATGGGTCTCCATGAGTTCTATGCCAGCCTGATCTAAACTCTCATGGAAGATCCCTAACATCAACCTCTGACCTACACACGCGCACACACACACACACACACACACACACACACACACACACACACAAGGTTAAGTTCCAGGAACTAAATGAATGGATTACAGTATTCACCCAGGGAAACGCAGGGAGTTGTCCTTAGGGGAGGCATTACAGTTTGGATAGCAAGTGTTCCCCAAAGGCTCTAAGCTGCTGCTGCTGCTGTTGCTCTTGCTATAGAAGAGTGGTTGGATCACCAGGGTACTGACCCTTTGATGAGTTCATCTGCACAAGGTGTCAGGAGGCAGGACCTAACTGGAGGGGGCAAGACCCATGGGGACATCTACAGCAGGAAGGGTGAATCTTGTCCTCCTCCTCCTCCTCCCTCCTCCTCCTTCTCTTCCTCCTTCTCTTCCTCTTCTCCTCCTCCTCTTCTTCTTCTCCTACTCCTTCCTCCTCCTCTTCTTTTCTTCTTCTCCTTATCCTCTTCCTCTTCTTCTTCTCCTCCTCTTTCCTCCCCTTCTTCTTGTTTCTTCTCCCCTGCCCTCCACTTCTTGGCCGCCATGAGAAAAGGAGCCTTGTCCCACCATATTCCACTGCAATGCTCTCCCCCTTAGTACAGAAACAACAGAGCCACATGAAACATTTGAAGTCATGCCCCAAACAGAGCTTTCCTCCTTTATATTTATGTTCTCAGGATTTTTAGCACAGTGATGAAGGTTGTTCACCAGTTTCAATGTGTTCTAATCTGTAACACAGCAGAATCTAAGTAACTCCGTACATGAACTTGTAAAGTGGTCTCAATTATTTTGGACAAAGACACTGTTGGTGATCTGAAGTCTGGATTAGAAGCTGTTGGAGGATGAGCATTGACAGGCAATGGTTCCAAGCAAAGATGGGTCAAGACTTAAGAACAGAGATGTCTGAGTCCAGATGATAACCAAGAGGTTTTTTAATGCACCCTGTCAGTTAACACACGGATGATGCACAGGCCATAATGGACAGCATTTTTTTTAACTTCTCCCTTGAACCATGTACATCTGCCCTTCACCAGTCCTAGTAATGAGCAGATGGAAGATAGAAAAGAAGCCTTTTCCCATGCCAGTGCTGCAAACTGCATGTAGAACGGACATTGCCCAGCTCCTAAGAGGGTGACAAGGCCATTGATGTCAACTAAGTCATGAGTTCAGGT